TCAAGAAAGACTTTGTGGAAGACATCAGACTTGATCTTGGCCTTGAATGATGGATAGAGTTTGGAAAGAATGAGGGAAATTACTTAAACATTTATTATCAAAGGCAGAGAATTAGGAGTAATGCACTGGACCACAAGGTCAGTTTGAACCACAAGGTCAGTGGTTCAAACTCAACAGCCACTCCTTGGAAATCCTATACAGGGGTTGCTATGAGTCAGAACCAACTTGACAGCACTTAACAACAACAACAAATGGTCCCCATATGTATGTGAAAGTTGGATAGTGAAAAACAAAGACAAAAGAACTGATTTTATTCAAACTGTGGTGCTAACCAGAAATATTTTATATGTCATGGACTGCCAAAAGAATGAAGAAATACAACGAGAATGTTCTTTAGGAGTAAATATGGTGAGGCTTCAATTCACTTACTTAGGATGTCATCAGGAAAGACTAGATGCTAGGAGAATGCATCATGTTTGGTTAAGTTAGTAAGTTAGGTGCCATTGAATCATCTCCAATTCACAGTGACCCTAGGTGGAACAGAATGAAACATTGCCCAGTTCTGTGCTGTGCTCGCAATAATTGTTATGTTATGTTCGAGCTCATTGCTACAGCCACTGTGTAAATCCATCTGATTAAGGGTCTCCATCTTTTTTGCTCACCCGCTACTTTACAATTGGTCCTTCCTGATAACATTTTGTCCAGAGCAAAATAGAGGACTAACTAAAATTAGGGAGAACCTCCATGAGCTGGATTGACCACGATGGACTCAAAAGTCCCAGCACATGAAGATGGTACAAGACTGGGCAGTATTTGTTCTGCTATTACACAAGGTCATCATGAATCGGAGCCAACTCGGTGACATGTAACCACAACAATGGTGTATGCCCAGGGTAGCGTGTGGATATTGGCCTGGATACAGGCAGAGATGTGTGTTGATAAGATCTGGAAGGTAAGATTGTCTAGGAGGGAAACAGCCCAAATAAGAAAAATGCAAATATAAGAAATGTATTGAATACTGAACGACTAACCTTTACGCTTTAGGTACTATTCCAAGAGCTTTATGTTTGTAAAAGCGTTTAATCTTTACAGCAAACCTATAGAGAATTATTTGGCACCTATTTTGTAGGTGGGGATGCTGAGACTCAGGAAAATTATCTTATTCAGATTCTCATGGTTTGTAGATGTGGAGCTGGGATCCAAACTCAGGTAGATACAGCTGCAGAGTCGGTGTGTTTCAGTGTTATGTCACATTGCCTTCCTTTTCCCCAAAGTTACAAAGATAGAGAGATGGTTTGGGCAAAGATCTGCACTAAGAGCCACACAATAGGGAGACACAAAAGAGAAACTAACAGTTGTGTTTCTAGAGACTGGTGATGTTGTTGTTATTAGTGCCTTTGAGTCGTTTCCAACCCATAGCAACCCTGTATAGGGTTTCCAAGGAGCCACTGGTGACCTCGAACAGCTGACCTTGAGGTTCGAACTGACTTTACAGTCCAGCACATTAACCACACCAGAATTGTTGATGTTGTTCTTGTTAAATGCCATCGAGTCGATTCCGACCCATAGCGACCCTGTATAGGAGGGTTTCCAAGAAGCAGTTGGTGAGCTTGAACCACCGGCCTTGCAGTTCAAACCACTTTGCGGTCTGACGCATTAGCCCACAGGGCCACACCAGGACTCCAGAATTGGTGATAGGGTGTAAGAAATTAGTAAATTGAGAAAGAGAAAGAGAATTCCTTGGAAAAGAAGAAGATGCCAAACTCATGAACCCTTAGTGAGTGGCTCGTACATAGACTTTGGAGTTAGGCAGACATGGATTCAAGTACCTGGTTGGTTGCTGCGAGATGCCAACATCTGCACAATGGGTTTAACAATCCACCAACCTCAGTTGTTGTTAAGTGCTGTAGAGTCAGTTCCAACTCGTAGAAGCCCTGTATAGGGTTCCCAAGGACCATTTGGTGAGTTTGAACCACTGACCTTGTGGTTCACAGACCAGTGCTGATCCTCAGCACCACACCATGAATCCAACCTCAGTGGTTAGGATTAAATGAGACAAAATTAGTAAGGTTTGCGGCACAGTGTAGGTGTTTAGTGAATGTAAATACTCTTCCCTTTGGATGATATGAATTGGCCAGGATCCTGGTTGGGATCTTGGAATGGATGTTGTTGTTGTTGTTGTTGTTAAGAGCTTTTGAGTCAGTGCCGACCATAGCGACTCTGTATAGGGTTTCCAAGGCTTTTAAATCTTTGTAGGAACAGAAAGCCTCATCTTTCTCCAGTGGAGCCACTGGTGGATGCGGACTGAGGACCTTGTGGTTCACAGTTCAGTTCTTACCATATGGAGCCACTGCGCTCCCCTTGGAGTAATTAGACTAACATTTATGTGATGCCAGCCAACTGAGTCCACTTGAACAGTTCCCCAGCACAAGCCTTCTGAGTGCCCACGGGCCAATACTTCGCAGGGAGCAGGCTAAATGATGCAGGGCGTTCCCCCAGGGGTCGCATTTCTCTCCATCAGCTCTCTGGCCTTTGCGGAAGCACTCTGTACTTGACCTCCAGAGCAGGTGTTCATCTAATGAAGCCGCTGGAGGCATGTACTTTGTCCTTTCCCTCCATCCCCGATCACCCTCCCTGATGCCATGGTTTTGACAACCTCCTAGATCCCAGGGTAGCAGGCTGGTGCTTCTTCCTCGTCACAGGCTTCAGCACCTGTTTGTTTTAGCTCACAGATCCTTCCCTCTCTAAGGGCTGAGTTTCCCTAAGTGTGAGACAATACATGCTGCATGCAAGGCCACAGCGATACAGAGCTCGAATCACAGTGAGAAAGTGATTCCCTTTAGAGTTCTCCTTTAATCTTTCTGATAAAGCTAAGGAGAACTCTTTTCTGGTGCTAGAATATCTTTACCACGTCTCTAACACTTCAGTCATAGCCTCTTTTTTTTTTTTTTTAACACATTCCACTCAGGACAGGAAATGGTTAGAATGGAGTTGATGGTTTTATTTTCATTGGATTTCTTTGCCCGGCTGAGTAGAAGTAGTTTTCTTTGGACTGTAGTGATAGACATTTTCCCTTTAAAATATATTTACTGGAGTAAAAAGTGAGTCCATTGAAAGCAAAATTGGGTAAATCATTGTCAGTGTGGTATGTGGATATGAAAAGCTTTATATCCCTACTGTACTCAGTACTGTAGTTTTGGAAAATGTGAGAAGAGTGGGGAAGCCATTCAATTTAGGAAGAAGAAGGCTCAGAAGTAGATGCACAGTGGTGACTTAACACACTTACTTTCTTTTAGCCCCAATTTCCTTATTTGCAAATGAGAATAATCATTCTTACTCCATGTTATGATTTTGAGGATTCATTGAGATTATTTGATGTATGTGCATACATACAAATGAAATGAGTTGTCACTAGTCTGCACTTTTGTAAAAATACACTGTGTTGAGTATAGAGAAGTTACTAGTTTCCCAGGAGTTCGATCACATGACAAAAACCCAAACCTATTGCCATTCGTCGACTCTGACTCAGCAACCCCATAGGGTAGAGTAGAACTTTCCCGCCGTGTTTCCAAGGCTGTCATCTGCCATATCTTTCTCCCTCAGAGCAGCTAGTGGGTTCAAGCCCCCAACTCAGTTTTCAGCTGAGTACTTAACCAGTGCTCCTTCCATCCCATGATTGTTGTTAGGTGCCATCAAATCAGTTCTGACTCATAGCAACCCTAGGCACAATAGAATGAAACCCTGCCCACTCCTGTGCCAGCCTCACTGTCGTTGCTATGTTTGAATCCAGTGCTACTGCCACTGTGCCTGTCCATCTTGTTGGAGATTTTCCTCTTTTTCACTGACCTGCCATTGTTGTTATCATTAAGTGTCGTTGAGTCTGTTTGAATTCATAGTGGCCCTATATAGGGTTTCCAAGGAGCAGCTGGTGGGTTTAAACAGCTGACCTTGGCATTAGTGGTCTAGTACTCCTCCCACAGCGCCACACCAGGACTCCATGTTTTTGTTTGTTTGCCTGCTAAATGCCATTGAGTCAGTTCCAACTCATAGCAACCTCGTATAGGGTTTCTGAGGAGAGGCTGGTGGGTCTGAACTGCCAACTTTGTGGCTTAAGTGGTCCAGCACAGTATCCTGCAGGACTCCATAATGGGAATAAAATGTGAGCAAGTTACATAACTCCGTTTCTCTGTTGTTTTTTTTTCTCATTGGCAAAATGAGATTATTGACCATATCATTTTCATGAGGTTACTGGGAGGATTAAACAAATGAATCTGTGTATGACACTAGAACATGGCTGGCACATAGCCACATTTGATGGGTATGAACTCCATGACCATGTCTCTGTGCCCCTTCCTGAGGTGTTAGTGTCCTAAGTAGAAAAACTCTTTGAAAGTGTGAAGCGCTAGTTTGTGCCAAAAGGACTCATCGATGTTAGCAGGACTCCTCCCAGAGTTCTCAGACCCTATGCAAAGTAGATTCCCACCAACATATATGTATGAGGGGGCTTCAAAATGTCTGGAAAAATTCCACCATCTTTCAATTCCATTTTTCCACCAGCTTTCTGAAACCCCATTGTATATCCATGTCTATTCATATAGTTTAAAGTATACACACACATACGTGCACAGAGTTTACAGTGTGCGAATCTGCTTACATCTGATAGTAATTTAAACGTCACAACTCTGAAAGTGAGGACTGTTATCATATTCCATTTTATAGATGAGGAGACCGGCGTTTAAAGGTTAGATGAACTTGCCCAATACCTGCATTCCAGAGCTAGATTTTTAAGATACACTAGCCTCCAGCGATTCACGTGGAAGATAATATTGACTTTGACATTGGCGAGGAAACCTCAAGGGGTGAAGGAGGATCTCTACTAGTGATGGGAGTGTGGTAAAGCAAAGCTCCACTTCCAAGATACAGCTGAATCAGTTTAATGGTAGGGGGATAAGTCTGTGGTGGAGGAAATCACCTGGGAGAAACAAAACACCCCCAGCTCAGTTGGTTACAACAAGGCAAAACCTTTAATAACATGAGTGCTTATTACATTAGCTGCTTTGGGGTTCTGACATCTTTGATTTCCGGTCATGTTTTTCTAACATGTAGAGGTGAATACCTCCCTCAGGATCACCTAGATGGTTGGTTTCCTGAGGATTTGTGTAGTTGGACAATGGGAACAACTATGACTTATCTGTTGGAAGAATCCCCCTGCTCCCTCTGGCCACCACCCATGACTTTTAGTAAAGTCCTCTCCCAAGGAGGAAAGAAGTGGAGGTCCTCCCTGAAAACAAGGAAGAAAAAAAAATCTGGTACAATACACAGCGAGAGAAATGATATTATAGGTTTGGTTTGAAACGGGAACGGAGAGGCTAGGAGTTGGAGGGTAGGGGGCAAAGAGTGGGAGAGGGCTGAGTCCATTTGGTTTCATTCTTGATAAAAAGTAACACCATCACTAGGACCATGCCATGCAACCTCAGAGACATCTCTGGACACTTCCCCCAAGGTTGTGCTGGGCAAGGGGCAGAGATCAGAGGTCAGTTCAGACGGGTGTGGTGCGCCTGCTGGCCGGATTATTATGCAGTGACTCTTTGAACTCTTTGGGAGTGGAGTTGTGGAACTGTAGAAAAGCGTGGTCCCGGTCGGAATTGAGGAGGGTCCCCATGGTGATCTTTGAGGGGTCCCGGGAGAGGGTGAACATTGAAATGTCGGTGGAAGGGATGGTATGGAAGCCTTTGCTGATGGGGGACAGGTCTCGGGACCTGGGTTCTGTGGAGCGGGAGCTTGATCGCCTCCGGAATCGATACCTATAGGGTGGAAGGCGGGCAAAAGTAGATTTCTTCAGGAACTCCGAATGGGATTTGGCACGTAGCTGCTGATGTTTTTCAATATAGATGTGCACAGCAACAACCCCCACGATCTCCGCGATGATGAACGAGAAGGCTCCAAAATAAAAGGACCACCCATAGGAGTAGCTTTTTTTGGAGTCACGCTGTCCAGGGTCTCCAGCATTGGCTGATATATAGACTATGATGCCGATAATGTTGCTTAACCCTAAGAGAACAAAAAAGAAAAACATATTGTTTATAAGCCTCAGAGGTGACTGTCACGGTTAGTCTTGAGATATTTATAGGAAATGTGAGGAAATGGGGAGAGAGGAGAATGGATTATGGCTGGGAAATCCAGCTGGAGAGCTCTTCTTGCATGCTTTACCTCTTGGGAAATGAAGGATTCTGTTGTTCAATCCCAGACTGTGTGCACTGAGCTAGAGAATACATCCTCCACGTACAGTAAGTGCAGCCTGAACTCAGAATGAAGTGACTTCCCTTAGACTTTTCAGCTCTAATTCATGAGGCTAGCAGAATGAACAAGATACAGGTAGCTGCCCTTGAGATCCTTACCAATAGTAGGAAGGAGAAACTGACATGCAAATATTGTTGCAGCAAGATGCATCAAGGGCTCCACTGGAGACATATATAAAATGGTCCAGGGGCAAAAGGGGAGAGAAAGACTAAGTAACCTTGCTTTGTGGATGAGAGAGTGTTTGAGTTGGGTCCTGAAAATGGAGTGGTGTGATTTAGGAGATGAAAAGCTACTGGCTGTGGATTGTGAGAAAGGGAATTGAGAATCAACTTGCTAGACTCCCAGCTCAGATGATTGGGAGGGTGGAAGATTTTGAGTTAAAGTAAGTAAGGCAGCAGAGAGACAGGTGCAGATAAAAGGAGATACTTGGATAGATTGAGTGCTTATGGACAGTCCAAATGGAGATGACCAGTAGCCATACGTGGATCTAGATCTGCAGCTCGAGGTATTAATGAGCCCACAGGAAAAGGGAGAGTTATTTATCAAGGTTTGTTTTTTTTAATCTACACAGTTTAAGACAATACTTTAGATCAGCCATTGTTGAAAGTTAGGAATTGTGGAACACAGAGCTATTTTCCCCTATGGGTAGGGGCTACAACTAAGAGAATAGCACTGGAAATAGCAGATCAGTCAAGTGGAGAGCAATTGATTGCCAAGGAAGTGGTAGAATGAGGAACTCATGTCTGGCCACTTTTCTTACATTTTAACTCCAAAGAAGAAATGTCTCTTTGGGTCCCATTGTTTTAAGGATCTCAGCTAGAGCTTTTTGCCAAACATATTCCACTGTTATTCCTGAGCCTTTCACTGTACAATTTATTTTAGAAATAAGTCAGCAGGTCCTTCTTCCAAGTCTGTCTGAATCTGAAGCTGTGCTGAAACTTGTCTACTGTAGGTTACAACGCTGGTATTCGTAACTCAAGTTACGGGTACAACAAACTGACAGGTGGATGTTAGCTGTCTGTTGTTGTTAGATGTTGTTGAATTGGTTCCGACTTATGCAAAAGAGAACGAAACACTTCCCAGGCCTGCACATCCTCACAATCATTGTTACTCTTTAGTCCATTACTGCTACCACTGCGTCAATCCATCTTGTGGGAGGTCTTCCTTCTTTTCGCTGACCCTCCAACTTTGCCTAAACATGATGTTCTCCAGGAACTTGTCCCGCATGAAAACATGTATGAGAGATGAAGTCTTGCTATCCTGGCTCCTAAGGAACATTCTGGCTGTACTTCTTCAAAACACATGTGTTTGTTCTTCTGGCAGTCCATGGTACCTTTAATATTCTTCTCCAGCACCATAACTCAAATGTATCAATTCTCCTACGGTCTTCCTTAGTCATTGTCTAACTTCCACATACAGATGAGGCTATTGAAAATACTATGGTTTGCTTAAGGCTTGGTTAGTCCTCAAACTGACATCTTTGCTTTTGAACACTTTAAAGAGTTTTTGTGTAGCAGATTTGCCTAATGCAATATGTCATTTCATTTATTGACTGCTGTTTCCATGAGTGTTGATAGTTGATCCAAGCAAAATGAAGTCATTGACAACTTCAATCTTTTCTCCATTTATCATGATGTTAACTTATTGATCCTGTGGTGAGGGTTTTTGTTTTCTTTACATTGAGGTGCAAAACATACAGTGGTCTTTGATCTTCATCAGTAAGTATTTTAAGACCTCTTCACTTTCAGCAAGCAAAGTTGTTTCATCTGCTTATCACAGGTTGTTAATAAGTCTTCCTTCAATTCTAATGCCATATTCTTCTTCATATAATACAGATTCTCGGGTTTAATTGCTCAGCATACAGATTGAATAAATGTGGTGAAAGAATACAACCCTGGTGCACACTTTTCCTAATTTTTAACCATTCAGTATCCCCTTATTCTGTTAGAAGAAATGATACTTGGTCTATGTACAGATTGCTCATAAGCACAATTAAGTGTTCTGGATTATTCATTATCTGAAATGTTGTTCCTAGCTTGTCATGGTGTACACAGTCAGCAAAACACAGGTAAACATCTTTCTGATACTCTCTGCTTTCAGCCAAGATTCATCTGATGCCAGCAATGATGCCCTTTACTCCATATCCTCATCTGAAACCATCTTAGACCTCTGGCAATTCATTGTTAATGTACTGTTGCAGAGTTTTTGGATTATCTTTAGTAAAACTTTACTTGCATGTGACATCAATATTGTCCAATGATTTCCAAATTCTTTTGGGTCATCTCTCTTTGGAATAGGCACAAATATGGATCTTTTCCAATCAGTTATCCAGGTAGTTGCCTTCCGATTTTCTTAGCATAGATAAATGAGTGCCTCCAGTGCTGCATCAATTTGTTGAAAGATTTCAGTGTATATTCCATCAATTCCCAGAGCCTTGTTCTTGGCTAATGCCTTCAGTGCACCTTGGACTTCTTCCTTCAGTACCATTGGCTCTTGATCAGATGCTACCTCTTGAAATGGTTGAACATTGACTTTTTTTTTGGTACAGTGACTCTGTGTATTCCTTCCACCTTCTTCTGCTGCTGCTTCTTACATCATTCAGTATGTTGTCCATAGAATCCTTCAATATTTCAAGTTAAGGTTTGACTTACTTTCTTCAGCTCTGTCAGTTTCAGAAATGCTGGGCATGTTCTTCCTGTTTGGTTTTCTAACTCCAGGCTTTTGTACATTTCATCATAATACTTGACTTTGCCTTCTTGAGCTGCCCTTTGAAATTTTCTATTCAACCCTTTTACATCCTTATTTCTTCCATTTGCTTTCACATCTCTACACTGGAAAGCAAGTTTCAGAGTCTTTTCTAACATCCATTTTGGTCTTTTCTTTCATTCCTGTCTTTTAAATGACCTTTTGCATTCTTCCTCTATAGTGTTCTTGATATTGTCCCCCAACTCTTCTAATTTTCAGTCATTCATGTTTAATGCATCACATCTGTTCATCAGATGATCTCTAAATTCAGGTGGTATATATTCAAGCCCAAAATTTGGCTCTTGTGAACTTGTTTTAATTTTCTTCAGCTTTAGCCTGAACTTGCATATGAGCGATTGATGGTCTGTTCCACAGTCTGCCCCTGACCTTGTTTTGGCTGAGGATATGAATGAGCTTTTCTATCGTACCTTCCTACAGATGCAATCAATTTGATTTCTAATTGTTGCATCTGGTGAAGTCCATATGTGTAGTCATCTTTTATGTTGCTTTAAAAGAGGTATTTGAATGACTAAGTCACTGATTTTGCAAAATTCTATCATGCAATCTCCAGCATCCTTTGTTTTTATCACCAAGGACATAGTTTCCAACTGCTGATCATTCCTCTGTGTTTCCAACCTTTGCATTCCAATCACCAATAATTATCAATGCATCTCGATTGCATGTTTGGTCGATTTCAGAATGAAGACATTGGTAGAATTCTTCAATTTCATCATCACTGGCCTTAGTTGTTGGTGCATAAATTGGAGTAATAGTGGTATTAACTTGTCTTCCTTGTCGGCATTTGGATAATACTCTATCACAGATAGTGTTGTACTTCAAGATCTTGAAGTGTTCTTTTCGATAATGAATATCACGTCATCCCTCTTAAATTTGTCATTCCCAGCCTAGTAAGCCTTATGATTGTCACATTAAAAATGGCCAGTATCAGTCATTTTCAACTCACTAATTAATGCCTAGGATACCAATCTTTATGTGTTCCATTTCATTTTTGACAACTTATAATTTTCCTAGATTCATACTTTGTACATTCCACTTTCTGACAATTAATGGGTGATTACAGCTGCTTCTCCTCATTTTGAATTTTGCCCCATCTGCAAAAAAAATGTTCCCAAAGCCTTTTTCCATTTGTGTCCTCTCTATCAACTCCACTTTGAGGAGGCAGCTCTTCCCCAATTTTATCCTGAGTGCCTTTCAACCTGAGGGGCTCACCTTCCAGCACAGTATCTGACAATATTCTGGGGCTCCCTGGTAGTGTTGCACTGCTATTCAAAATGTTTCCAGGGGCTAAACCTTCCGAAGTTGTCTGCCTCTCCTTCCTAGTCTGGCTTAGTCTGGAAGCTCAGCTGAAACCTGTTCACCATGGATGACCCTGGTGGTATTTAAAATACCAGTGGCATAGCTTCCAGCATCACAGCCACCTACAAGCCACCACAGTACAACCAAGTGACAGGTATGTTGTAGGAGCTTCTGGTAGTGATTACTTGTGACAGAGAAGAACCGGCCTAGAGAGTTTTCTTGGATGTAATCTTTATGGAAGGAGATCATCAAGTGTTGTCTACTGGGTGGATTCGAACCCCCAACCTTTCTGGTATCAGCTGAGCACTTAACCATTGTGCCACCAGTGCTCTTTCTGCATGCTTTAAGGGTTGTTTATGTTTTGAATATGACCCTTGTGCCACCCAGGACTTGCCCCTAGAGGGCACAGCTAGAATCTGGTTCAGCTCTGTATTCTTTTGGCATTACCTAGTGCAGGCATTCAGCAGTGGGTTCAAATAATCAGTTCTGAAGATGAGGGCTGACAAAGCTAGTCCCGTATCAGACTCTTGGCCTCATTTTCCTGGAGTGCCAATTTGGCTTAAAAATTAGTAGGAAAAGCATATATTTTTATGTTAAAATCAACATGGATGTAGTAAAGAAGGTTGGTGGTTCAAATTCAGCAGCCGCTCCTAGGAAACCCTATATAAGATTGCTATGAATCAGAAATGACTCCATGGCACTTAACAACAACATAAGGAAAAAACAAAACAAAACTGTAATTCATGTCAATTTTTAAGTCAATGGAAGACTGACTTCAAATGGCTACTTCTGATGGTGCCCCAGACTCCCTAAGAACATGTTTTCTTTTTCTTGCCAGCAGAGAAATCTTAGGGGCAACGTTTGAGGAACCCCAAAAGAAAGTCTTTTCAGAACAAATAAAAAGTCTTCACAGAGAGGCTCAAATGTCAGACTAATTTAAAGGAGGCAGAAAGCCAAATGGCTGCATTTGGTGGTGTTGGGTGTCACAAAGTCAATTCAGATTCATAGCCACCCCATGAGGCAGAGTAGAACTGGCCTGTGGGGTTTTCTAGGCTGTAGCTGTCATTTATACAGCCCTGATGTCACAGTGGTTAAAGCACTCCCTCGGAGCTGTGGGAGAAAGATACGGTAGTTTACTCCTGTAAAGACTGGCTGCTTGGTGGCTGTGTGCCATCAAGTTGGTTCCGACTCATAGTGACCCTAAGTAGGGTTTCCAAAGCTGTAAAACTTGCAGAAGCAGAAAATCTCATCTTTCCCCCATGGAGCAGCTGGTGGACTCGAACTGCTGACCTTGAAGTTAGCAGCCCAGTGCATAACCACTACACCACCCAGGGATCCTTCCTGTAAAGATGCCAGCCTTGGAAACCCTGTGAGCCAGTGTTTCTCTGTCCCATTAGGTTTCTGTGACTTAGACTTAACTTGATGGCATGGGTTTACTATGTAAGGAGCACTGTGCAATGTATTCGTGTTGTTGTTACTGCTAAGTGCTGTTGAGTCAGTTATGATTCATAGCGACCCTGTATAGAGTTTCCGAGGAGTGGCTGGTGAGTTCAAACTGACCTTGAGATCCAGTACTTACTTATCCTACAGTACTGCACACATTCACCCTCTCAATTAATCATCACAAGAAGTTACTTTTTATTAAAAATCATACCCATTTTATAGATAAAAGCCTGAGACACAAAGAAAGTTAGTTACTTCTCTAGATCACACAGCTAGGAAATGTTAAAGGTGGGATTTGAAGGCAGGATCAGCTCTCTTAGCCACAGGTGGATTTAGAGTTCAGTAACAAGACATTGATTTAGACTTCAAGAACAAGAGGTAAGCAGGCAATTCTTTTCTCCTGATTTCCAGAGTGCAAGCTCCCTGAGGGAGGGGTTAATGGTAGTGGTGGTGGATATGGGATGCTGCTGAATTGATTTAGACTCTTAGCGACCCTGTATAGGGTTTCTGAGGCTGTGAATCTTTACAGGAGCAGAAAGCCTCATCTTTCTCCCACGGAGAGGCTGGTAGATTAGAACTGTTGACCTTATGGTTAGCAGCCCAACTCATAACCCAATATGCTGCCAGGGCTCCTTGAGAGAGTAGCCAAGTCCTTCATATTTACCTTCTTTCTATAACCCCCAACTTCTCATCCCAAACCTGACCTATAGCAACTGCACACTGGAAGTCTGTTGAATGAATATATGAATTCAGTTGGCATGAAAATAACGTGGTTTAATGTATATATTGGAAGACCGGTGACTCCAGAGGATAACACAGGACTGTAAACCACAGGGTTGGCAGTTCAAGCCCACCAGCCAGTCTGTGGGAGAAAGATGAGCCTTACAGCTCCTGGAGAATATTTAAAGCCTCATAAACCCTATATAGGGTCATTATGAGTCAAAACCAATTCCATGGCACTTAACAACAACAACCATGTTTATACTAACAGCTATTAGATGTTGGACTCCTAGTGTGGGGCTGTAGGGTAAGTACTGGACTGCTAAATGCAAGGTCGGTAGTTCAAATCCACCAGCCATTCCTTAGAAACCTCATGTATGAGTCAGAACCGACTTAACAACACTTAACAATTATATATGAGCACTTACTATGTGCCAGACACTGTTTGAGGCCTTTTGTATATTCCAACTCATTTAATTCTTCTAACAGCCTTAAGAGGTGGGGCTATAATTACCCCATTTTTCAGATGAAGAAACTGAGGTACAGAAAGGTTAAGTGATTTTCGAGTTGTGCTGTGGGCTAATGTGTCAGACTGTAAAGTTGTTTGAACTGCAAAGTCAGTGGTTCAAGCTTATTAGCTTGGAAACCCTGTACGGGGTTGCTATGGATCGGAATCGAATCAACGGAACTTAACAACAACAACATATATCTAGGAAGTTGTTGAACCAAAATTTTCACTGTCTTCGGAGCTTCATCTCTGTGCTTGACACATAAAATGTTGCAAATCTGCCTACAACCACAAAGCCTTAGTGTGACTGAGCAATTAGGAGCTTTAAGGGTTCCATAATTTTCAGGTGGAAAAACTAAGGCTCATGGAATCTCTTAGGAATATCAGAGTGGTGGGGTCTAGAGTTAGACCTCAAGGTTCTGGCTTCTTCTTGGACTCTCCCCGCTGCCCTAATGTTTCATAGTTTCCACGTATCTAATCTACCTGCCATTTCCCACAATGCCCCTTGTGAGAAGACAATTGCTAACAATCTTGACCCATTCTTCTCAAACACTCTTCTTGGATGACAACTTAGTGGTCACCTCCTAGTATTAAAGCACCTCACTCTCTGGGTCATTCCAAGTCCAGGAGGCCTCCAGTGACTGGAACATGCCTCTAAGTAAAACACATCCCTGGGATTACCAGCTGTTATCCACAGATTATGACCACAATTGTCACTGAGCTGACCACATCACTCTGCAGCAAGATGGTGACCTTCTCCTGGTCCACTGCATGAGTTGGTTCCCAGAGACTCACAGCTGGGTGAAGTCCAAATTTCTCATTTTGTAGAAAGGGAACCAAAGTAGCAAAGGAACATGAGTAAGGTCTTAGAAGAAGCCATCACGCCAGCCCGCAGACTTCTGAACTATACTGACATTCTTCTCCCAATACTAAAACATGGTGGTGTGCAATCTGAGTGCCTGGCTTCAGGCTTTCACAACAATCCTATAAAGTCAGTGTTTGTCATTGTTATGTGCTGTCGAGTTGACTCTGACTCATAGTGCTCTGTGCGACAGAGTGGAACTGCCCGATAAGGTTTTCTAGCCTATCTGCTAGTGTAGTGGTTACAAATCGGGCTGCGAACCACAAGGTCAGCAGTTCAAAACTACCAGCTGTTCTGCGGGAGAAAGATGAGGCATTCTGCTCCAGGAAAGATTTATAGCCTCGGAAACCCTGTACAGGGCCGCTGTGAGTCGGAACCGACTCCACGGCACATAACAACAACAACAACAACAATCTTTACAGAAGCAGATTGCCAAATCTTTCTTCCACAGAGTCACTGGGTGGGTTTGAACTGCCAACCTTTTGGTCAGCAGCCAGAACTAAAATATCTGTGTCAAATAGGTACTATTATTATTTCTCATTTATCACCATAAAAGATTTAGTATCTTGCCTAAGGCCACACAGATGGAGCCAGGACTCAAACCCAGGAGGTCTGTTTACCCTAGAGTCTTGCCCACGATTTTATACACTCCTGATTGTTCACATCTCAACAAATATTTTTGCCATCATGGTGTGGAGTTTGAATGCCATCTCCAAAGAGAGCCAATCCCCTCCTTGTCCCTGCCCCTTTCTTTGCTTCTCTAAAAGTTTTCCTTCAGACCACATTGATCTTCCCAGTAGAATTGGGAGAGATGGCAAAGAAATGCAAGGAGGGGTGGAAACCCAGAGGAAAGAAAGGAAACTGAAGAAAGTAGCAGAAAGAGATATCAGGTGGTGAAGAAAGGCAGAGAAGAGAACCCTCTTCCCAAATGGTGTTTCTGGCCAATCTGTGCCTTCTGGTCAGGGCTCCTATGAACTGATTGTAAGGTTGTCCCTGAAAGCACCAGCGGAGTTTGCCCTTTACTGTATTCCCAGAGATGCTTTCACGACAGGATTTGCGCACTTGAAACATTGTAAATAGAGGTCAACCAGCAAATACATGTCTCAAAGGGCTAGAGATGGTAAATGAAAACATCCAAGAGAACAGAAAGTTGGGCTCCTTTAAAATACTGTATCAGTCTCTCAGGGTTCTCTCTCACATACACAAACACACATGGGCTCCTTTAAAATACTGTATCAGTCTCTCAGGCTACTCATACACACACACACACACACACACATAACACACACACTGGGCTCCTTTACAATACTGAATCAGTCTCTCAGGGTTCTCTCTCTCTCTCTCACACACACACACGGGATCCTTTAAAATACTGAATGAATCTCTCTGTCTACTCATACACACACACACACACCTTCCCCAATGTACACACATTTCTGCTAGTCTTTAATTTACCCAGCTACCCTGGCTCTTTCCTTCATGTCATTTCCAACATATCTGATTCAAATGAAAGTCTTCGTGTCCTTATTGTTAACATGAGTTGAACATTTCATTGCTATTGCCCTGGAAGGCACAGCATTGCTTTGTCTGTGTGGCCCAGCTTTGGCTGGATGTCTGTGCTGCTGATCTCAGAGCTGGAGGCAGATGCTCACCTGCAGAGACAAAAAAGATGCCCGCGCTGAGTATCACATTGTGTCTGCTGCGGTGGAACTCGCTGGCTGCCACACAGAGCCCACCGAAGAACAGCAGCGTGACGCTGAGGATGGGGAAGACGCTGGAGGCCCTCACAGCCCCTGTAGAGAGAAGGAAAATGTGTTGTGCTTGCACCTTAGCCAGTCCCCAGAACCCCACCATGGCAGGATGGTGTTGAAGGGAAACCACACCTAAGTAGAAGCACAGAGCCCACAGCAACCATTCCCATAGTTCTGTTCCAATGCATTTGCTCAGAGCCTGTGCATAGAAGGGAGGAGCTTAGGGTATAAGACTCTGAAGTCGCTGTCTAGAAATGATTAATTTTTATCACTGCATGCTTAGAAACCCAATTCCTGGGATCCCTGCTCCTACCATTTCCCTATCACCCCAGGATGGGTTCTCAGTCACCCATGCCTTTACCCGTGTCTATTACCACCTTCTGCTGTTGGCCAGGATCTGGGTGTGGACATGGGAGAGTCAGGATAGTGTACAAGCCTGGGACCCTGTGAGCTTCTCCTCACCATGTGAATATTTCTGTGCTTAAGGGAGTGTGACATGAAATAACAAGTGAACACCATCATGACAGGTCAGGAGAAAAATGGCAGAAAAAAGGAAAAACCTTCTGCTTTTCAAACAAAGGGCCAGGGATTTTCATTTTGTACTGGATCCTACAAATTCTGTAGCTTGTTCCATATACAAGGACTCCTGCCAGACCACACAGTGTTCACCAAAACACCGAACCTTTCCCCCCACAAACCTAGATTTGCATAAGAGCCTAGCACATAATATGAATTTAATCATCTACTGTGGATTAAACTGTCCCCCCACCAAAATATATGTGTGTGTGTGTGTGTGTGTGTGTGTTGGAATTCTCCTCTATCTATGGATATAATTCCATTTGACAATAGAGTTTTCTTTGTTATGTTAATGAGGTCCTATCAATATGTTGTGTGCCATCAAGTTGACTCTGACTCATAGCAACCCTCATAGGACAGGTTAGAACTGCCCATAGGGTTCCTACCCTGTAGCATAGTGGATTATGAACTGGGCTGCTAACTGCAATGTCAGTAGTTCGAACCTACCAGCCACTTTCTGGGAGAAAGACGAGGCTTTCGATAGTGGTAAAGATTTCAAGCCTCAGAAACCCTATACAGGGTTTCTATGACGGAACAGACTCGACAGCGCTTAATATCAACAACAACACTATTTACTGGAGCAGATCCCAGATCTTCTGACCCACAGTCACTGGTATGTTTGAATTGCAACCTGTGGTTAGCATCTGAGCACTTTACCATTGCACCACCAAGGCCCCTATAGGGTCATTATAGGAGTCAGAAACAACTCCATGTCAAGGGTTTTATATCAGTATACGGTGTGTCTTGAAATAAGAACTTTGAGATGTAAAGGAAGCAAGTGGTAGACAGAAGCCACACTGGGGTCTCCAAAGACTGGGGAGAAGAATGCCAGAGAAACTCAGAGATGCTTGCCCCCAGAGAGCCTTTCCCCTGAGTCAGCACCCAGAATTCAGACTTCTTGCCTTCTAAACTGCAAGAAAACACATTTCTGTTCAATAAGGCTTATGGTATTTAGGTCAGAGTAGCATTAAAAACTTCAGACCTTGGACATATTGTCAGGAGGGACCAGTCACTGGAGAGGGATATCATGTTTGGTAAGGTGGTGGGTCAGAGAAATAGAGGAAGACCCCTGGCAAGATGGATTAACAAAGTGGCAGCATCAATGGGCTCAAGCGTGGCAACAATTGTGAGGTTAGCCCAGGACCAGGCAGTGTTTCATTCTGTTGTGCATAGAGTCACTATGAGTCAGTACGACTCGCTGGCACCTAACAACAACAACAACAGTATTAAAAACTACTCATCTCTAAGTTTGTCATCCTCTGGTGGCTTGCATATTGCTGTGGTGCTGGAAACTATGCCACTGGTATTTAAAATACCAGCAGGGTCACCCATAGTGAACAGGTTTCAGCTGAGCTTCCAGACTAAGGCAGACTAGGATGGAGAGACAGACTACTTTGGAAGGTTTAGCCCCTGGAAACCTTCTATATAGCAGTGCAACACTATCAGATAGCACCAGAATATTGAATATGGAAACATGAGGAAGAGCACCAGAATATTGTCAGATATAGTGCTGGAAGGTGAGCCCCTCAGGCAAGACAGCACTCAAAATTCCACGTGGAGAGCTGCTTCCTCAGTAGAGTTGGTCATGACCAAGACCTTCATTTGCTGATGGGGCACAACTCAAAATGAGGAGGAATAGCTGTAAGCATCCATTAATAATCAGAACATGGAATGTATGAAGTATGAGTCTAGGATAATTGGAAGATGTCAAAAATGAAATGGAGCACATAAAGATTGAAATCCTAGGCTTAGTGAGCTGAAGTAGACTGGTATTGGCCATTTTGAATCTGACAGTGATATGGCTTACTATGCTGGGAATGACAGATTGAAGAGAAATGCCATCATATTCATCATCAAATAGAATATGTCAACATCTATCCTGAAGTATAAATGCTGTCTGTGATAGGGTAATATCCATATGCCTTCAAGGAAGACCAGTTAATACCACTATTATTCAAATGTATGCACCAATCACTAAAGCCAGTAATGATGAAATTGAAGCATTCTATCAAATTCTTCACCCTGAAATTGATCAAACATGCAATCAAGATGCATTGATAATTACTGGTGATTGGAATGCAAAGGTTGGAAACAGAAAGGATCAATAGTTGGAAAATATGGTTTTAGTGATAGAAAACAGTGCTAGAGAGCACATGACAGAATTTTGCAAGACCCATGACGTAGTCATTGAAAATACCTGTTTTTAAACAACGTAAAAAACTACTATGCACATGGTCCTCATCAGATGGACTACACAGAAATCAAATTGTTTACATCTATGTGAAGCTGTCGTGTCTTCTTAATGACCCTTTGCTTTCTTCCTATATAATGTTTTAATGTCATCCCACAATTCTTCTGGTCTTATAGATTATTAGTGTCTAGTCATCAAATTGGTTCTTGAGATGATCTCTAAATTCAGGTGAGATATGTTCAAGTTAATACTTTGGTTCTTGTGGGCTTGTTGAAATTTTCTTCAGCTTCATCCTGAACTTTGTTGTTGTGATCGTTGTTAGGTGTCATTGAGTTGGTACCGACTCATAGTGACCCTGTGCACAACAGAACAAAACACTGCCCCGTCCTGGGCCAACCTCACAATCACTGCTACATTTGAGCCCATTGATGCTGCCATTGTGCTGATCTATCTTGTTGGGGGTCTTCCTCTTTTTCTCTGACCCTGCACTTTACCAAACATGATATCCTTCTCCAGTGACTGGTCCCTCTTGATAATATGTCTGAAGTACTAAAGATGAAGTCTGGTCATCCTGACTTCCAAGGAACACTGTGGTTGTACTTCTTCCAACACATATCTGTTTGTTCTTTTGGCAGTCCATGCTACTTTTAATATTCTCCTCCAACACCATAACTCAAATGCATCAATTCTTCTACAGTTTTCCTTATTCACTATCCAACTTTAGCATGCATATGAGGTTATTGAAACACCATGGAAAATGGCCTAAATTTGCATATGAGCAATTGATGGTCTGCTCCACAGTCTGCCCCAGCCTTGTTTTGGCTGATGATATGGAACTTTTCTACCGTCTCTTTCCACAGATGTAGTCAATTTGATTTCTGTATATTCTCTCTAGTGAGGTCTATGTGTATAGTCGTCTTTCATGTTGTTAAAAAAAAGTTATTTGCAAAATTCTATCATGTGATCTCTAGCATCATTTCTATCACCAAGGCCGTATTTTCCAACTACTGATCCTTCTTCTTTGTTTTCAACGTTTGCATTCAAATCAACAGTGATTATCAGTGCATCTTGTTTGTTCAATTTCAGAGTGAAGACATTGATAGAATACTTCAGTTTCATCATCACTGACTTTAGTGCTTGGTGGCTCAGTTTGAATAATAGTTTTATTCACTGCTTTTCCTTGTGGGCGTATGGATATTATCCTATCACAGACTGCGTAGTTCTTCAAAATAGATCTTGAAATGGTATTTTTGATGAATTTGACATCACTCCTTTTCAATTTGTCATTTCTAGTATAGTAAACCATGTGGCTTTCAGATTCAAAATGGCCAATTCAGCTTACTAATGCCTAGGACATGGATGTTTATGTGTTCCATTTCATTTTTGACAACTTCCAATTCTCCTAGATTCATACTTCACATATTCCATGTATTAATTATTAAGGTATGTTTACAACTGTTTCTCCTCATTTTGAGTTGTGCCATATCAGCAATTGAAGGTCCCGAAGGCTTTGCTCCATTTGCATCATCACGATCAACACTACTTTGAGGAGGCATATTTTGAATGCCTTCCAATCTGAAAGGCTCATTTCCTGGCACTATATCTGACAATATTCTGGTGCTCATTATCATGTTTCAACATTCAATATTCTGGTGCTATCTAACAGTGTTCCACTGCTGTTTATGTTGTTTTCAGTGACTAACTACTCAGAAGTACTCCATTTCTCCTTCTTCCTAGCCTGTCTTAGTCTGGAAGTTCATCTGAAACCTGTGTACCATTGGCTCAATTGTCCACCGAGGCTGAATGTTCAGCCCAAAATAATAGCTGGGTCTATAAAGGGAGCAGTAACACTAGGGAGCTATGCATGCTGTAGAATAATTAACCATTTGAGATCAAAAGGGCAGCATTTACTCAAGGGCAAAGTTCAGAAGTGTTGGGAAAGAATGAAGAATGAAAACAGGAAACAGAGGGAGGAAGTGGGACACGTGGTATTGCATTAAGGGATTGCAATCAACAAGATGAAAAAAATGTGTACGGATTATTGAATGGAAAACTAATCTGCTCTAAACCTTCACCCAATTCATAATAGAAAGTTGGATTTTGCTCTTGCAAATCATATGCAACAAATAGGAGCTAAAATGTATTATTTCCTTACTGAGTGTTGGGCCCAGGGCTGAATGTGATTTCTATTAACCTATTTAATTTTCATGATGCTATTAGATGTTGTTGGTGTTAAGTGCTGTTGAGTGGGCTCCAACTCATAGCGACCCTGTTGGTTTTCAAGAAGCAGCTGATGACTTTGAACCAATGACCTTACGGTTCAAACTGACCTTGCCATCCAGTGCTTATCCTACAGTGCCACACTAGGACTTCTGAAGCTGTCAGATACCATTATAGTATCTATTTTGGACCCAAATGAAGAAAGTTAAGAGATATAAAGGTCCAATTTGCCCAAAATCCAATCCAAGGAGTGAGGAGTCAAAGCAAGGTATAAGCCCAAATCAACCAGATGCGAGAGCCCTTGATTTTTGCCGTACTCTACTGCATCCCATGGAGTCCTGGTGTCGTGCTGTGGCTTAATGCGTCAGACTGCAAAGCCCTTTGAACTGCAAGGTCGGTGGTTCAAGCTCACCAGCTGCTCCTCGGAAACCCTAAAAGGGTCACTATGGGTTGGAATCGACTCCACAGCACTTAACAACAACAACTGTATCCCACACGCCACAGTTATGGTGGTCCCATACCATATCCAGTTTACTGACCTTGGGGAAATCCTACAGAGACAAAGTCTCTACTCCAGTAGGATTGAAACTGAAGAGAAGTCAAACTAAAGGCAAATTTTAGTTTATATTTTTTCTTCTAGGTTTTGCCCCTTAGGACCTTGTCCATTAGCACCTCGTCCATTAGCAACTCACGCATTAGCAACTCACCCATTAACACTTTGCCTTAGTACTGCTGCAAAGAAACCTCTGAGGAAGTTGAAAACTTGTATTCAAGTTGAAGAAAATTCCTTAGACCTCTCCCATGGAAACTAAAAGGAACCTCTAAGTTTTGATACTTTTTTTTTTGGTTGTTTCCATTTCTAGTTCACTGAAATTAAAGAGATTTAGATAGCAGAGCCACTTGGATTTCTCTAATAGCAAAAGTGACCCAGGTTCCTTTCCACTTACCCATTTCTAGGGATGAATGCTAAGAAACTTCAAATCCAGAGGCACTTGGATAATTCAGGGTCCTTCCTCCACCCCTCTCCCCCAAGGGAGCTATGAGAAGCAGAGAACTTACTCAGTAAATATTCTGCCGTGTCCTGTTCATAGTCAGCATCTTCAGGGAAGTGATCAATTTTCTTGCACACTCCTCGAAAAGCCCCTGTGGAAACAGATATGAACCTGAACCAGAGTAGGGGACAGGGGTCTCCTCGCCCCACAACGAAGATCCTTTCTCAGTTTGTTAGGGTAGTAGTTGTTGGAGCCACCATCTCTGTTCTCTAGGGCACAAGAAAGAGACCAGTAAATGAAAAAAAATCACAAGACAAATTCTCTGCTTCCTCGATTTTGTGTGATGTTGGACTCTACTTAGAAGAATGAAAACCTCAGAATCACAAACTTTAATTTGAGGACTGTCTTGTCTCATGTTCCTCTGCCCCCAATCAATTAAAAGAAAAGGAGGTCAAATTTGAGAATATTTATTTTCTTTCCATTTTACAGATAACGAAACTGAGCGCAAGCATTTTGCTTGAAATAGACAAATATAGAGAGACTAAATATCATACTGTGGTGGCTTGTGAGTTGCTGTGATTCTGAAAGCTATGCCACCGGTATTTTAAATACCTGCAGGGTCACCCACGGTGGACAGGTTTCAGATGATCTTCCAGATGAAGACAGACTAGGAAGAAGGAGTGATGAACTACATCTGAATATTTAGTCACTGAAAACCTTATGAATAGCAGAGAAACATGGTCAGATATAGTACCGGAAAATGAGCCCCTCAGGTTGGAAGGCATTCAAAATGCCACTGGGGAAGAGGTGCCTCCTCAAAGTAGAGTTGACCATGATGACACAAATGGAGTAAAGCCCATGGGAGAAAAGCTGTGGGACCTTTATTTGTTGATGGGGCACAACTCAAAATGAAAGAGAAACAGCTGTAAACATCCTTTGAAAATCAGAACATGGAATGTACAAAGTATGAATCTGGGAGAATTGGAAGTCAAAAATGAAATGGAACTCATAAACATCAATATTTTAGGCATTAGTGAGTTGAAATGGACTGGAATTGGTCATTTTGAATCTGACAACCACATGGTTTACTGTGCTGGGAATGACAAATTGAAGAGGAATGGTGTTGCATTCATTGTCAAAAAGAACATATTCAAATCAGTCATGAGGTACAATGCTGTCTATGACAAGATAATAGCCATGAGCCTCAATTGTGTGGATCATAACAAGTTATGGACAACATTGCGAAGTATGAGTATTACGGTACACTTAATTGTGCTCATGAGGAATCTGTACCTGGACCAAGAAGCAGCTGTTAGAACACAACATGGGAACAATGAATGGTTTAAAATTAAGAAAGGTGTGCGACAAGGTTGTATTCTTTCACTATACTTATTCAACCTGTATGCTGAGCAAATAATCCAAGAAGATAGGTTCTATGAAGAAAAACGTGGCATCAGGATTGGAGGAAGACTCACTAACAACCTGAGATATGCAGATGATACAACCTTGCTTGCTGAAAGTGAAGAGGACTTAAAACATTTACTGAAGAAGATCGAAGAGCACAGCCTTATGGATTGCATCTCAATGTAAAGAAAACAAAACTCCTCACAGCTGGACCAATAAACAACATTCTGATCAATGGAGAAAAGATTGAAATTGTCAAGGACTTCATTCTTCTTGGCTCTACTATCAACACTCATGGAAGCAGCAGTCAAGAAATAAACACCATATTGCATTAGGCAAATCTACTGCACAAGATCTTTTTTAAAGTGTTGAAGAGCAAAGATGTCAGCTTGAGGACTAAGGTGCGCCTGACCCAAGCCATAGTATTTTCAATAACCTCACATGCATGCGAAAGCTGGACAGTGAATAAGGAAGACTGTAGAAGAATTGATGCTTTTGAGTTATGGTGTTGGAGGAGAATATTGAAAGTATCAGGGACTGTGAAAAGAACCAATAGATCCATTTTGGAAGAAGTGCAGCCAGAGTGTTCCTTTGAGTCCAAGATGGCTGAACTTCGTCTTTTATACTTCGGACATATTGTCAGGAGGGACCTAGTCACTGAAGTAAGATACCCTCTTTGGAAAGGTGGAAGGTCAGAGACAAAGAAGCAGACCACCAACGAGATGGATTGGCCAAGTGGCAGCATCGATGGACTCAAGCGTGGCAACAATAGTGAGGTTGGCCCAGGATTGGGCAGTGTTTTGTTCTGCTGTGCATAAGGTTGCTATGGGTCGGTATCAACTCGATGGCACCTTACAACAACAACAGAATCTATTAGTGGTTACCAGTGGTGGGAAAGATTGGAAAAGGAGGTGGTATCATTGCTTACGGAGTTCTGAGTTAGCATTAATGGTGGTGGTGTTGTAGCAAATCCAAAGACGCAGGAAACCGAGCAGCACACAGAGCGGTGGAGGAGAAGAGATTTATTTGTCTAGCAGACACAGAGAGGCTTATGGGTCTCTAAGTCTAGGCTCCATTTCTCTTTGTTCTTAAGTCTTTATACCAACATTTTCCAGGGGAGGGGGAGTGAGTAAAGTCTCACAAGGAGGGAGAGCAGTAAAATTTACAGGTGGAAGCCTCAGTCAGTTTGATAAGGATGTACCTGGAGTGTTAGTTTCTTTGTTGCATCCTATCTAGGCCGTAAAAATTCCTTCTCCCCTTCCTCCTGCACTTCCTGTCCTCTTCAGCAGAATATTTGCAAAAGGGTGGTGGTACACATGAAGGACATAATCAATGTCACTGAATTGTACACATTAAAATTCTTGAATTGGCAAATGTTGTGTTACACTGTTGAGACGTAAACAACAACTTTACAGGCCCACATATATGTGAATTTAAATCCACTGTGGCACCGTAGGATCAGCACTGGCCTTTGAACCACAAGGTTGGCAGTTCAAACCCACCAGCTGCTCCTTGGAACTGTATACAGCATCTCTGAGTTGGAACTGACTCTAAGGCACTTACCAACAACAAATCTACTTCCATTGAGTCGACTCCGATACATAGATAGCCTGTATAGGGTTTGTTGTTGTTGTTGTTCAGTGCTATTGAGTCGGTTCTAATGCACAGCGACCCTGTATAGGGTTTCTAAGGAACCAGTGGTGAGTTTGAACCACTGACCTTACGATTCAAACCGACCTTGTGGTCCAATGCTTCATTCCACAGTGCCACACCAGGACTTATGAAGCTGTAAATCCTTATGGGAGCAGAAAGCCTCATTTTTCTCCTGTGGAGCATCTGGTGCATTTAAACTGCTGACTTTGTGGATAGAAGGCCAGTGCTTATCCTAAAATGCTACCAGGGCTCTGTTACATGTGGACTATTTTCAATAAATATATTGGACCCTTCTATGATACGGGCTTTGGTAGTGTAGTGGTTACGAATCGGTCAGCAGTTGAAACTACCAGTCGTTCCTCAGGAGAAAGATGAGGCTTTCTACTCCCGTAAAGATTTACAGCCTCAGAAACCCTGTACAGGGTTACTATGAGTTGGAACCGACTCCACGGCACATAATAACAACAACAACAACAACAACAACAACAACAACATGATACGGGCACTGAAACTCAAACAAACATTGAAAAGAAGGCTTGGTATCTGTAAAGGTGAAATTCATAACATCTTTTTTGACCAAAACTATATGATTAAATTTAACTCAGTTACTATTGAATTAGACTGTTCTTTTCATCCAACTGTCTGCCTGAAAATCTATATTTGTTTCTCTGACCAACTTCTGCTATCAGGATATGCTAATTGCTAGAAGCCATAAAACTAGAATGCAGTATCCCTCTCTGGTATGTGAGCATGGGAATAAAATGCACTCTAAGGAAGGGAATCTTGCCACCGCCGTCTTTTCTATAAAACGGACCAAGGAATATTTCTTGATGACAAAAACGTAATAAGACAGTTGCTTAAAAGGGTCTTGACACACTAACCTTGAACTTTCCCCGACTACTTAAAAGTTTGGATTAGCAATCTGTTTCTAGGAAATGGGACCCTGGTACCAAGATGAATCTTCATCCACTCCTGAGACAGCTGGCTAAAACTGCATATTTCCATTAGTGATATTTTATGATCCCTTCTGAAAAATCTCAAACTACAATTAAGAACTGCTGTAATTAGTTCCTGAAATCAATTACTGTAATGCTTTACATGCAATCATCCTATAGAAGTCCATTCTGCTCTTTCAACCCATCTTATTTGTTGTTTCGCCCAAAAACTAACCAAAGAAATGACTTGATTAAATTTATTTGTTTCACAAATTATATCTATTTTTCTGAGAAAATTTTAGTTGGAGTCATCAATTTTCACTTGTTTTCCTGCATCTTAATATAATAATTTTTCTTTTTTCTGAATAAATTCAATTTTTATGGATCCTTCTCTATAAAGTACTTTACAAAATCATTTTTAGAGGAACAGCTGTAGAGAATTGTCAGCTCAGAGTGACCCTGTATAGGATTTCCAAGGAGCAGCTGGTGGGTTTGAACTGCCGACCTGTCCTGATCCTACAGCACCACTTCCCTTGTTAGAAAGTGTTTAAAGGCAAAAGCAACTCATTGCTAGGGGAACTTGAGTTGAGGTCCTGAGTCTCGGAGTTCCTTACCTGCCTGCTTACAATTGAAACACTTCATCCTCTTCATTGAGATGTCTTCTTAATTCTGGCAAGAATCTGCTGAGGGCAGAACTAATTGTCTGCAGCAAGAATATTTCACATGCAAACCTAGATTTCCAGTTTCTTTTTGAAAAATTAGGAATTCTGTCCCCCATTTCCCTATGACAATTCTCTACAGCTGAAAATTAAGCTGGCAGAAGCTGTCCAGTCGGCCAAGATCTACCCCTGAACCCACAATACAGTGTTGTTGGTAGGTACTGTCCAGTTGGTTCTGACTCATAGCAACTCTACAGAAAGAAACTTTGCCCAATACTATGCCTCCCCACAACTGTTGCTACATTTTTGCAGCCACTGTGTTAATCCATGGCATTGAGGGTCTTCCCCTTTGTCACTGACCCTCTGTTTTACCAAGATGATGTCCTTTTCCCAGGACTAATACCTACTTATAACATGACCAAAGTACATGAGACGAAGATTCACCATCCTCACTTCTAAGCAGCATTCTGGCTGCACTTCTTCCAAAACAGTTTGATTCA